GGCGCTTATTTTTTTTCGCATCAAAACGACAAAACCGGTTATAAATAGCCGATAAAGACCGCTTAGACCGTTGTTATTTCGATAATAACAAGATAAAATAAGGAAGATCGCTAATGTTATTTTTTGAAGTGGGAATAACTTCCGGTGCCGATTCTCGTATTACGATGTTCGATTTTGCACCTTACTGTAATGTCGCTAAGATAAATAAATTATTAAACAAAAGCGATTATAACAAAAAAGGTTATTTTATTTCAACAATAAAAACTTACTTCTTACAATGGATTGTATTGTGTTTACATCACTGCCCCATTTATAAATCTTGTATGTTTGAACTGACGTCTGCGTTTATGAATGGGTTGTTTACTTAGGATGACATCATCACGCTGCTTACGGATTGGCGCCGTTTTACCAAAATATTTATTAACAGTTTACTGATATAGATCAAATATGTGGCGTTAGTGTATATGAGATATTACTTCGGTATTGTATGAAAAAGAAACATTATAAGAACTGAAATATAAATAAAAATGTTTTTTTTTTTATTGTTGCTTTAAAAGGGTTTATAAACTATATAATCGAGGGAGAAAATATAACAGCCACATATACAAGTAGTCCCTAACCAGTGTTTATTGGCAGTTTAACATCGTTTTTTTTCCTTCTTTGTCTATAGTGCAAAATCACGAGGAGTGTTAGAATTTTCAGTATAAGTTGACGCAAGCTTAGTGTAATTCTATGTACAATCTATAATAAAATATAATATCCTTGTATGATAAAAAGTAGTTCTTAATCAGTTTTAGTTTATCTCACATACATGTTATCGTGTATTATGTAGTCAATATGGCGTTTTCGGAACCTCATCTAAGATCGAACATCTAAGTTCGAATTGTTGCCTTCTAATGTCTAACTCGAAACGGCCCCAATAAGCTTCCAAAGGTCATTGTAGCCGATAATTTATAATCTAAATTGTACCTATTTCTACACCAATTAATAATATATAGAGGATATTGAATCAAAATTGTATGAATTATTATTGTAAAATCGAAATTGCTATTTTCTACCTTCCGATCTTTTTTTCAATGAAATCGAGTGTTCTCTCCTTTCTGACGTTTATCACTGAAGTAATTAAAATTATATTTTGTTCAAGATGTACAATGTAATCATTTATTTTACAAATGATTTGGTAAAGTTAGTATAGGTTTTTGTATGTAAGTCGGTATAAATGAAAGTGAATTTCTTGTCCGGCCATGAAACGTATTTAATAGAATGGATACTGATTGGTTGAAATTAATAGTGCCCAGTGTCGCATTCCCCCCCCCCCCCCCCCCCCCCCCCCACACACACATACACTAACATAAATAATTTTTAAAAAAAACAGACACTCACAAAAACATATATGAGCCGCGTCATGTAAAGTTAAAATAAATATGCTTGTATATATTCAATGAGTCCAATGAGGAAGTCGAATATTTTCACTAACTCGTTAACTATTTTCTCCCTTCGATGAGGTATATAGAATAACAAACAAAAACATACACATATTCTTTTTATAACATGATCCACGGCGCAGAAGTTTAAAAAGGAACTTTATAATCTAACGTAAAAAATTAGAAGTCACTTTATTTACGAATTCACTGTCAAAAAACAGGATAGGCCGTCGGAAATATCCTGAGAACAATACTGTTCAAACCATGTTCTGTCAATTACTTATTTCTAGCGCATATCATACGCCTCTAGAGATCTATATAATAAAAATACTACCACCGAAACTAGACGGCAAATCATCAGAAAAATACACTGTCACTAACATGCATTACATTTTTTTATATGAGCGCTTTAGACTGAAAGTAGATATCAACTCTAAATAAAGATGACACACGATGCGATTAACCAATCTTATAGTAAGAGGGCGGAGCGATTATAATGAATAGCCATTTTACAAGCGTATTTAAACCAACAAAGTCTGATTTAAGTTTGTTATTTTGTGTACCTATATTATGTAATTTGATAGAGGTATGAAGTTAAATCGTATTAGGGTTTCATAAATGGATAAAATAGATAATTACAGCAATAGCTGAAGATTATATTTTTTGGATTTTTAAAGAATACTAGTACTTAGTTTTAAGATTTTCAGTGGAATGTGTTTTAAACGATGTGATTTAAAAAGTTAATTAAAATTCTTTTTTTTCCAAACATTCATACAAGTGATGAATTTGACAATAGTTTGCTCCTTATTAATAATGATAAAGATAAAACAGGCTCTTGAAATGTACGCACATAATAGTCAATTTTTCGAAATTAGTAAAATCATCAATATAATTTCAATTTAGATTTTAAAATTTCAAAATTTTAAATATCCTGTTTAATTAATAGCAGAAATAAGTGACATAGGATCAGAATTGACTGCAAACCAAATAATCCAACCTTTATTTTCTTAATGTGAATGAGACACCACAAAGTCATAAGAGGATATTTTTAGCTCTTCAATATCTAGTTTTTACACTAAGCAATATGTGATTTATTCAATAAACGGGTTTGAAGAATAATGTAACGCGCGTGTTGAACTTACATGTGACCGCCCCAGAAGGCCAGACTACTTTATAAATACGGCGTTTACTCATAATTGCCGTATTTACTCAACAAAATAAAAAAAAAATCACACGTTGTCGTGAAGAGTTCATAAACGTTTCTATAAAAAAAAAGGTTATAAAAGTTAACTGGAAAATTAGAGGTGATATGAATTAGTTGCTGTGTCCCTATGTACTGTGTTCCCATCGTGGCACAACAAAAACCCACGAAAATAAGATGGTGAAAAGTCGGAATAACTTTCGTAATTTAAACTTTTCACCATCGGACTATCGACTTTTCATCATCGTATTTTTTTTACTTTTCACCATCGTTATTTCGACTTTTCATCGTCCTGGTTTCGACTTTCATTATCTTAGTATTGCCTTCTTGTCTGACATGCGCACATAGATCATGACAATGTATGAAAATATTTATACCAAGGTTTCAATTACAAACAAATAATAATGTAAATGGTTTCAGATCATAATGTTTGCATGAAGTTGTTACATTGTGCGTTTTCCTAATTTTAAACGTCAACTACCCATGACATCTTTATATACTAGTAGAGTGTCATTCAAAGCGAGGCAAAACCACGATGATGAATGTCGCAGGTACGATGGTGAACAGTCGGAAAAAAAACACGATGGTAAAAGGTCGTACTTCCAACATTTCATCAACGTACTATCAACCTACTTTTAACTACCGTGAATTCGTTATATCGACTTTTCACCATTGTATTTTCGTGTTTTTGTGGTTTGAGTTAATTGTGTTTCGCGATGGATCTAACAAGACAAAAATAACAAGCGAGGTCTTACGCACGCGTAAAATGGCTGCAAAGAATGGTCAGCTGTGCACAACATATCTTAAAAGGCAGAATAAAATGCTACCTAGATTAATGTCTTTAAGATCTGCGAAATTGTTGAACTTAAAGAGGAAGCGTTACGACACGAAAATGCCAGTATGTCCGTTCCAATAGTAGATCTACTCGTTTTATAAATCTGTGACAACGGGTACGCGTAAGTCAATGTCGTTATGTTTCAGGAATCCGACACGATGAGTCTTATTTATATTAAGAGAGTGTTGATTGTAATAGTTTCTTATTAATTAATTATATCCCGATTAAACGATATTTAAACTTTTAATAAACAACGACCAACGATAAAACATCAAATTTGAGCATAAACGTAGTATATAAGACATTAAAGATCATTTATGTTTTAAATAAGTATGTAACAATGTTGGTGGTGGTGATGCAACAGCTCTTACATCGATGCGTTTTGTCCAAGAGTGAAACAGCTCCCCTTTAGGTGAAGACAACGTGTCTACGCATGATTTAATCTTATCTCGTATTTAATTTCGGTAAACTACAGGCAGCTGCACAGACAATTATTTATATACTGAGATAAAGAAAAACTGTGTCTTTCCATTTGAAGAAAATGCAATTAAAAATGTTTTGCAATAAAGCCAAAAATTTAAAATTGATCATTAAGTGTAAAGCAAGCTGATGTATGTGAATGTTTTTCGGTACTAGTGTGTGTGTATGTGTGTGTGTGTGTGTGGTTTTTTTTTTGTTGTTTTGTTTTGTTTTTTTTTTTTTTTGTTTTGTTTTTTTTTTGTTCTTTTTCTTTTTTTCTTTTTTTGGCGACTCGCAAACTATATCGTGTCATTCCCAGGTAAATCATACGTTTTATTTAAAATCATCAAGACTCGGCTGTCGAATTAATGAACGACTTTATAAATTGGCTATGTACTAGCTCATTTCCACCGACGCACAATGGGATTTGAGTCAAAACTAGAAATTGTAAATAACATTTTTGTTACAAGGTATAACTAATCTTATTATGCATGAGGATAACGTCTTTTAGTTTGCTGCGTTGATTTAAAAAAAAAAGCATTGCATTGACAGAGTGGTGGAAATTTCTCTGAATTTTAAGTGAGAAAAAATTAATGAACGTTGTGAAATATAAGTTCATAAGGTGTCTGCTAATAACTTGTGAAAAAATGCTGGTGTCGGCAAAATGGTTTTGCGCAGTGCTATGGGTAGAATCTGTAAATTGAATTATTAGGGTATAGTGCGGCTGATATAAAAGTGTGTTTACATGCGCAGATATTTCAAAAATTATAATTATAATGTTCTTTATATTATGTATCGAAATAAAGTCAAACGAACGCCTTCTATGATTCGAAAAATACCCAATTTTACTATAATAGAGCTTTTGAAGTGTGATTACAAACTTCTTCACTTTTCTCCTTTAGCGTCATTTTTGCGCGGATATATTTACTGCTCACTTTGTCTATTGCTGGAATACTTCATAATATACATTTTTGTTATATGTGTTTATCAGAATATGCTCTATTTCACTTCTTACATATGTTATTTTTTATAAATGTATAACATGTTATTCATTGGTTAGTGACCGTTTGTGACTAAAGTTATTACTTTATTATCATAAATATCTTATTTATCCTTTTTTGAAAGCATCAAGATGGTTGATACACTTTATTGCACCCGTATTTTGCCAAGCAGACAGTACTTTCCATGGTATTATAAGATTAAGAGACAACTGAATGATATCCAGCAAAGATATGTCGATCTACATGAAAAGATTTACCTTAAAAGTCCTGTTACACCAACTGAAGACAACTGCTTCACTGTGTGTCGTCAGCGTACCAGATGGTCAACGGTCTTCAACACTTCTATAGAAAATGAATTTGTTCCAAATGCTGAAAATCTTAAACTTCAAACCTTCACAACAGACGAGACTTTTAACGAAGTTAACACTGGAGATGTACTTGTCATTCCATTTAAAACGGCCATGCCTTTGCTAAAACACAACATTGACCGCCAAATCATTATTGTTGTAACTGATACAAAAGAGAATAGAGATGCCAGTGAGCTAATTCAGAATCTCCGCTGCGTCAAAGTCTCGTATTTGCAGAACCTTAAGAAAGTAGCCAGTCTCACACTTGAAGAAAGTATGTTCAAACCTATGAGGTCTTATGCTGAACGGCTAGACAGTTTTTTGCACAATAATCGGAAACACAGGTCTGAAAAGGGTAAGTATGATACAGAGAAGGGTTAGTATGAGACAGTAAATGCTTATAAAACCTAAAGCAATATCGTAAAATGTGGATGGTACAAAACACTTTACTTTGAAATCATTCAACTACGCCGCTCATATCTTTAGCACATATGCAATACTATTTTCAAACATTCTATACCTTTAAATAAAAAGTCTTGGTATATTGTTTGAAAACATATTTCACTAAGTCTAGTACCTTCGTTAAATCAAAAATAGTTTGTCATGATAACATACGTTTTTATATCATGTTTTTTTTTAAAAATAATTTCAATCATTTTCGACAGTACATTTATATACATTATTTTATAATTCCAAAACTTGTTTGTCAGTCAATGATATTTATTGTATGACTTTGGTTAAATATGTTTGAAAAGGAAACATATAAAAAAAACGTGCTGCTATATACAAAAATTAAAAACGACAGAGAATACGCTTCAAACTTAGAAGATATGCACTATAAATCACAACCTTTTAGAGTAATTATACCTTAATACATTTTCTCTCTTGATCAGACAAAAAAGAAGGAACAATGATTTTTATTCATTGCTTTTGAGGAATATTCTCGTTATGTTCTGCATAGCAAAAATATAGTGTCGTCTGAATCATTTTATTCCATCTCAAGACATTTGAATTAGCTAAAAAGACTGTAATTCATTCAGTGTACACGATGACAATTTGATTGATATTTATGTATTGTTTAAACACTACAAACTACAATGATGATTACTAAATTCGAGTTTATTAATAAGGTTGCAATTAAAACATTTATGCTTTTTTTATTTTCAATAAAAGATTTTTTTCCCCAGATACAGAAATGTTTCATCATTGTAAAGATTCCGCTGAGCGTGTCTTCTTTGAAATCATTGGACTGTTCAATAGAAGCAGATTGAATGAAGACCACAAACCAGAGGTCACAGGGACTCATCAGCATAAAGTAGATGATAAGGTATAATCCTGACTTTAATTCTATAACAAAATTTTTACATCCAAATACACGTAAATGGTCAAAAAGAACGCCTCAATGGTAAAATTGGAAATGTTGAAGACTATATATTATATTATATATTTTGTCCTGTTGATATAGAAGCCATAGAAACCGGTCGACATTATATTCAAATAAGAGATAAAAACTTGTAAGTGTCAATTATATATATATGTCAAGCATATGTTAAGCTCTAATAACATATTCTCTTTCTCTTACCTTAAGGTTTTAAAGGAGTTATACAGAGTTTGTCCTAATGTTAAGAGTTGTGGATATCGATATAGTACTCTCCAGGTGTTTGTCAATGATATGTCCAATGAGAAGAGTTACAACCGCCTAATAGAAAATGTCTTAAAAGCACATGGAATTAATGATTTTAAAATCGTGCCAGCAATTTGTACATATCAATCGTTTCTTGGAGTTGGGGCGAAAGTATTGCCTACTGGAGATGTAAATCGATATGGATCATTGGGAGGTTTTGCAAAGAAAAACTCACACGACATGTGTGCATTGATTTCAAGGCATGTTGCCATCCAATCTCAAGACATGCAGGTATCCTTAACAAGTGATGATGGATCAATTCAATCAAAAATTATCCCGGAGACTGTGCCCATTGACTTTCCTGGGCCTCAATTAGATATTTCAGCTACTGAAATACTTGCATCGGATGTTTCCAGATGCGATACAAAATTTAGGTCAGAGGAAGGAATACGTATGACTGGAAAAGATTGCATTTATGACGAAACGCACTTAAGTAGTAGACGTGTCCATATTTGGGGTGCTGTGAGTACTCCAGGTCTTGGTATTATAACTATGCCTGAAATTCACGACATAAATGAAGATAATGCTTATCTCATCGTTGAAAACAGAGCAAATTCAACTACTGTCATGAGTAAAAAAGGGGACAGTGGTGCAATGGTATGTGCTGACGATGATTATGGATCAGGAGTTGAAGTAATATCAATGCTAATTGGCGAAGATACAAAAAACCCTGGGAAGTATGCAACGTTGAGAATAGATAAAGGATTAAAGCAACTTGAAAAGCAAACGGACTCCAGCTTCCGTTTATGCAAGGACTGACGACATGACACTTAGGGTTACGATAAAATGTAATTGATAAGTAATCCAGAAAGACATAAATGAAACGTAAAATAAAGGTAATACAAGTGTAAATATCAAAAGACAAAAGTTATCATCTATTCCAAAATATGCTGTCAGTAACTTTATACTTATGAAAGAATTTATACTCTACTTATGTATGACGTTATTTTTAAACAGAATATTGAAGACATTATAATTGAATTAAAATTATCGTTAAATTCTTATTTTGTGCCTCAAATGGCAGAGTGTGTGTTCTTGTTTATCCAAAGTAAACGATGATGCTGATTTTGTTGACATTAATTACAATGTACAAAAGATTTTTATATATTCTTGTTCTGAATGAAAACATTCCTAAAAGCTTATACCTGATTCGTATACAAGTGTATGTCAAAAAGTGCTGCAAAAGATATTTTGTAGAAAGATCCGATAAGTGAAACCATGTTCTTAAAATATAGTTGTGGTAATAAATCATGGAGACAAGTAGACCCTCAACAAAGATGCTCTTATATACAAAATATTGATTTGCATTGCACAGCTCCGTATGAGTGTTGAATAGATTGTTATGATATTGTTATAAGCATGGTTGTCAGATATATTTACAGTTACTTATTTACTTCATAAATTTACTTAAATACACTCTGTTTGTCTTTGTTGTTTTTTCTCTTGCTTCTTTTAATTGATGTTGCATTCAGATGTATCTAATATAGCAGCAATATCTATTCGAGTAATAGAAATACTGAATTCGCTTTTTCTTTTAAATCCCGTTTATGTTATCTAACAGTTACACAGTCTTTATCTCAACAGTTAAAAGCAAACTTCAATGGATACTGTTATCTGCCAAAGTTATATTTTCTACACCTAATGACATCCAACTTGAAATTGTCACATTCTGGTTAGTGATTCATTAGTTGGTCAATTTTCCTTATTTTTTTTCTAATTTCAAAATAAAGAAAGAAATAATCCCTGCAGAACTTCAAAATCAGCAAAATTAAAAATGTTGCAGGATCGGATTAAGTGAGTATGTTTATGAACTGCAGATGTGTTTGCAAGTTCCTACTCAGCTTAAGCAGAATTTAACATATATAATTACATGATAAAGTGTTACATTTAGAAACAAAATGAGACATATTAATACGTAAAATGTCACATTTAAAAAGCAACATATCTTAAGGGAGGGTATACAGTATTCAAGTAACTCAAACTAAGGCTAAAATGTCATATTCATAATTAAAATGTTCGGCGCGGTATGACCAGTAATAGTTGTACGTGCCGTTAAAGCCAAGTTAACAAGCGAACTTCATTGATTTTGAATTCCTAGTCGGTTTCTATGTATGAACACATGTATGAACACATCTGCAGATGTTTCTAAATTCAAAATTTTACTATTTCATGTTTAAATGTTGAATTCTGCTTAAGCCGGTGCTAGGGGGCGTGGACGGTAACTTGCACTTTCCAGTACCGTCCATGAACAGGCTCAATCAAACCGAGCCTGCAACATTTTCAATTTTTTCGTGTTGGGCTTTCTTTAGGGATTCTGTATTTATCTATTCTATGTTTTCCTCTTATGTATCATTTTAGTAATTAGCCTGTCCGTGCCTTGCGCCCTGAACTGTTTTTGTTTGGGGTCCTCCTGGGCTCCTTGTCGCTGGTTCTTGTTGCTGGGTCGTGTTAGGGTTGCGTTTATTGAACGCTGCTTTTCCTTGTTGAACTTGTTAATCATATTTTAGCGTTACTACACATGTCATTTACTTTCCCTAAACATATTCCTTTATGTTTAAGTTACTCATACTTCACGCATTGGGTGTTTTGCTGTATTAAAATTGTTTTTTGTTGTTGTTTTTAGTCAAACATATGAAAATACAGTTTTGGTCAATGTTTGGTATCAATTCTTTTCTTATATTACAAATCATTTGCTTATAAAACAAACCATCGTCGTAGCAATATGTCATTAGTGTTCAACATCATTTGCAAACCAATGAAAACACACAAATTTTCAAAATAAAATCTTAATCTTATAGACAGGGAAATTTTGTTACTTATTTATTAAGCTTTTGGGGGCTCTTAATTGTTAAAATTTCATTTCATAAACACTAACATATCAATATATATATATATATATGATAAACGATGATTATATGCTAATATGTCAAACAGTTCATCTTTGATGCAACTAATGTCATGGAAATTTACCTTGACCTGTGTTTCATTGTAAAATAAATCTTTGAAAGCCACGCAAATTTCAAAAGCCAAAAGCTCAAACGAATTTTTGTTGTGGGATCATTTAAATGCAAATGAGTGCATAACAACAGCCATTTAAAAATCATTTAAACGCATTTTGTACAATGCAAGTCAAATATTTAAGCAAACAAAGAGATAAAAATGAGAGCTGTGAAGCTTTCAAGCAGACAAAATATCGCATTCAGATTTCACTTGAATTATCTTCTGCAGATATTTTCTTCTTATAAGGTTAAGAACAACAACAATTTTGAACCCGCGTACTTAATATAGTATTGTATAAGAATATTGATAAGCTAAAAAAAGGAGAAACTTCTTGAGTATTCATGTTTAAATTGACTTTCAGATTTGTTCAATCATTGTAATTCATCATTAAAAACATTTATCATTTACACATTATTTTCAAAAGCACCTTCTGACAATAAAGTAAAACTCGTGGATAAGTTATATCTTTTTCTTTTTTCAATTTTCATTTGTGTCAAATGTTAGTACTTTCTCCTGAGTATGTCGTTCTTTTCAATAATATAAAATAACATCAACACTATAAAAAATTGTTTGTGAGAAGCAACATCGCTTTTTGTCTGACGCTGTCATATCAAATTATCTTTATTTTACTGTTAGACAGATGATTTGTATAAATCAGTAATAATATGTTCATTTGACAGATCCAATGTGTACTTTATTATAGCCAAGAATACAATAAACGAACAACGAAATCAAGCTTTACATTCAAAGCAATATTTCAGTACAAGAAAAATAATTTATACCACGGCATTGCATATCAAATTCAACGATAACATTACTTTAAAAAAGTAATCCCTATTTAAGATTGCATATACAGAATTGACCTTCACGTTTACAAATCTTAACACAATAGTTGTATTTATCAACCTAATGACGAAATAGCATCATATTACCGAGAAAATCGTTGTTAGGTTGTTTTTTCTAGTGACGTTTGTATATGTTGTGAGAAAAAGGAAATACCTTATATTTCAAATAAAGTCAGCTAAACACTAACGACAAAAAAGGGTAAAATGATTGATAAATGTCATTAAGAACTCGTATATCAGTACATTAAGGTATGGTCAGTGTTAAGAGAAAACGTGCTTAATTGAGTTATGAGAAAAAAATCTCGGAATGGCAAATATCTGTCGCATGCATGTACGTGAATGACGGAAAAATAACAAATTGGTATGGAATTCTCATCAACTATTGATATGTTTTGACATTTTCTTACTAGACCGTTGATTTAGAAATTTATCACAGAAGATGAACGCGGATAATCTTAGATGAATAATTTCTTTACAATACGAAACAATACAGAATATCTGCAGTAATTGCCGAATAAATGTAATCCTATTCCTATGTTTTGTGGATGTGATCTGTTAATTTATATATCAGTAGTTACTACAGTTTAGGGACGAGTCTATTGCTTTCGATGTTCTTATTCGATTTATCTTGTCCGCTAATCTCTAATGGTCGAGTGTTTTACTTGTGTTTTATTGACAGAAATAGTTGTATTAATGTAATATTTACTAAACAGACAGTGTTTTAAAATATTTGGCACAAGGGTTCAGTCAAGAGTTCTCGAGAAGATTTTGTGGTTACTTATGTTTCAAAATCAAATTTAATCTGTCAAACAAGTCTTATTGTATAGAATAAAAAAAATATGCAATATTTTGGTCGAGTTTCACAGGTGCAAAAAAACAGTTTCGTTATAGTTTTCTCAGCCACTACTTATTACAGTCTCTTGGTTTTTGGTATACAGCATTAACACATTGTGTCATACCGTGGGATTCGATTTCCGGTCTGTCGCTCATCCACTTCCGTTATACCGACTAAGTTGAATTTTCTACAAGAATGGTCAATGATAGGAAATTTTCATAACAGTTTTCTCAGCAACTACTTATCACAGCCTCTTGATATATGATATACAGTATGAACACGTGATCCCATAGCGTGGATTCGATTTCAGATCTGTCGCTCATCCATTTCCGTTTTACAGACTTAAATTTAAATTTTCGACATTAATAGTCAATGGTAGTAAATTTAAGTAACATCACAGCCTCGTCATATTTGGTACATAAATGCAACCCGGCATATTCTGTCTTTGACCATTTTTTAAATCAAATTTATACAATCATGTAAACGATTATAAATTTTACTTTCCGGGATGTGTATTATTGTTTTAAAAGTTTATTTTTCTATTCATTAAGATAAGTTTTGTACTCCGTGAAAGACGTATTATTTTTTCAATACATGTAATATGAATACTTTAAATATCAGATTTCTTTTCAATTTTTTTTTTGTCCCAATAATTTTTTTTTCTATTTGAATATTACCATAATTTGTTTGCCACCTCGATTTATTAATCTAGTTTCTTTCGCTGTTTCCTGATATTAGGTTAAGAGTCGTGATTGTTTTATAATGAATTATTCATATGTTAATAATGTTTGATATGAAGGATATAATGTTTATCAATGATACAATGATACTGTATCATAAACACAAATCGGTATAAACCAATGTCTGTATTATATGTTTGTATATTTTGCTGCCCAGATATGACTCTCGTGAATCAAAGGGAGTGTCCACAACACAACGAAGTGTTATTTTCCACAACCCTTACTTTTGACAACTCTTTATAACACTTAAGTTTTTTATCTTTGTTTTGATACATATATTGTGTTTGTTTGCTTGTTGTTGTTGGTGGGGGTTTTTTGGTGTTTTTTTATGGGGGTGGGGTTTGTTGCTGTTTTTTCTTTTTGGGATGGTGTGCTGTTGTTCCATTCCTTGGGGGTTCACAACAAAATTATTACATTATTGGCCAAATTATTATACTCCTGATCACGTAGTTCATCCTCGACTTGGACATTCTAGAGGTGCACATACTTATCTTATAACACGCGATGATGCTCTTTTTTGTATTGCTTGCAATTATAATTCAACTATCAAACTTTTTGTTGAATACAATGGTCTTGAACAAGTCTGTAATAGAAAATTTTAAGATTATTTACTTTTAGAACTTTTTGACTCAGTTTCTCCGAAACTTTGATCGATTTCTTTTACAAGATATATTATTTTTATTTATTTTGCCAAACTTGTTTTCTAGGATTTGATTAACTCACTGCATGCCTGCAGATAAGCCAAAAGCCAAGCATATATCACTACTCCAAGTCCCATCCCATTCCTTTGTTCCTGTTAAGTGTCTCTATTGATGTACTGGACATACTATATCTAGGCTGTACTCTTCCGCTTTGTTGCTCTGTGGTTATTCTTATATTTTATGCACATGTACTCGTATATGGACCGACCTTAATAATATGAACTGAGTTTACTTTAATGCGCCTTCCCTTCAGAAATTGTTGCTATGTTTTTAACTCCCCCTTTTTCTT